AGAATTCCGAAGCACCAGAAGCAGCCACGTAGGCTCAGCGCATTTGGAAATTATATATAGGGAGGATTTATTCAATGGGTCAATAAGATTCATAAGAAAGTAATGATTGGGCTATGTGTCCAAGCCCACTTATTCTAATAGTATTAATATACACGGTTCTTCGGTTATTAGCAAGAATATTTTTGGTACCTGATAACCGGGAACTGTTTTTTCACTGAAAGAACCGGACCAAAAAATTAACAAAAATTTAGTTGATAACCGAACCGAACTGGATTTTTTTCGGTTCGGCTCAGTTCTCCGATTCCCGGTTCTAAAATCCCACCCCTAAATGTGGCGCATCACTATTCCCAAATGCAAAGTAGCGAAGGTTTATGACGTTGTGTTGGAGCACAATTTCTAGCGATAAACCCTACTCCAACGCAGCATTGGAGAGGCTTTAAACAATTACAACCAAAAAATTTTCCACGTTTCCCGTAAAAGTAAAACAAATTTCCACTCAAAAGTTTTAACAACTATTTTTTAAAATAATAATATTATTAGACCAATATAATAATAACCTCTATTTGGTTCTTGAAGTGTCTACATAAATGCATCTATCATCCATTTTGAGTTTTATATGAACAATTATGATATTTTTTTTTTATTTTTTATTTTAAAAATAAAAGCAAAATATGGGAGGTGGGATTTTATAGTCTCACTAAGTTGGGAAATTTTAAAATGGCCTTCCATAACTCTACAATTTCACACTCATACTTTCATGAAAAACTTAAGGACCAATTACAGTTAGTTTTCTCTATTTCAGTCAATGTTTCAATCATTTTTTTTCACTTTCCTCGCTGATTTGAAGACAATTCTTTTCTTTGTTGTTTTCATTCAAAAAATCTTTTTGACTAAGAGAATTTTCAACCAATTTTATTTAATCACCCTCATTTTCAGTTTTTCTTGCCTTTCTCGCAAAAGATGTTTGCTCTTTCTTTTCTTTGTTATCTACCCGAGTCACATTTCAAACTTTTATAGTTAAGAAAGAGAAAGAAATTTTAGAGATTTCATACCTGAAGTTAATCCATTTATTCTCCCTGCCCAGTTTGATGGTGGTACCTCTTAGCAGTGGTTCGTTTAGCTTGACTTCCGCCATGATTTGAACTACTCTGCCATTTGTGTTGCATGCTGTTGGGACAAAGAGATCCATTGTTTGAGTAAATAGTCTTCCTATCTTCAACCCCGTTTCAGCTGAGATCCAGTAGAGAGGGAGGCTATGAAGTTGTATCCATAACTCTACCTTTAGAAGTAGT